TACTATCACAAATTCCACCAACATCAAGTTACAAGGTATCAGCTGGCTTAGATACTTCACAACATGCCCAAGGTTGACAAGGATATAGGGTGTTATATAGACTGTCAACAATATGGGAGTTACACCTCAGAAAGTTGTTTAAACCACTGCAGCATAATCTTCAGGAATGTGAAAATGCAATAATCAAAAACGTAAATGGCATTAAATAAGGGATGAGAGTCACTGTTAGATGTGCCTGGTGTAAGATTGGAACTTCTCTCTTTTAAAGCTTATCAAAACCCAGCTATACAAGCAGGGTTGTACATGCAGGACATGTCCCATGCCCCTAAAATAGTCTAAAGGGGAAGCACAAACTCATCTGCTCACTTCACTTGTGCTGTGAGAATGAGATAAGACTTTATACTGTACAGAGGACTCTACTTAGAACACATATTTGCAGGCCACTGTCTGAAAGGAGGGGAAAACCTCATTCTGAGCAACACTACGTTTCATCTCATGACTGTCTCATGAGCATTTCTGCCCCAGTCAACAGGAAGGAGCTTATTCCCAGATTTTTCCACATGAGGATGGAGAAACATCCACGTTGTTCCTTGATAAGAGGCAGCATTGACTCCTACTTCAAAGCCAGCCACTGACTCAAAAGCCCCATTCCCATTAACACCAACCAATCCCATGACAAATCAGAACCAACTGAAGTTTTTTTTTCAAGTAAAATTTACAAGTAACATCAGTTTTGGAAAAAAATATATATGTAAATAGAAATAAGCAACCAGGGAGAGAAAGCAGCAGAGCACTACAATAAATTTCTTTAACCAGTATCCATAGGAAGCAAGAGCTCAGGATCGTATTGTCACGCTGACTTGCCGTAAACACCTTGAAAATCTTGAGGGTAACTTGGCTAGGAAGTCACCTTGGCTCCAACCTTGAGAAACCTTCAGTTCAGAATAAGGCAGAACCACCAGCTTCTGGGGAGATCATAATTATTAATTTGGACTTCGAACTAGTCTAGTTTTTAAAGAACACATAGGGATAAAAAAAGTTCCCCAGCTACATTTTTTTAAATATTCATGCAATTGAAGTGCACAGGTACAGTCAGTCCTGTAACTGCTACCTAGATCAAAAAGGCTAGAAAAATAAGAAAAATAAATGCACCTTCAAACTATTTGGACTTCCCCCTTACCATGTTGTGAGCAACCTGCTACAAGATTGCTCATTTCCCCTTTTTCGGCAGATTTCCCAACACCATCTTAAAGGAACAAAAAGCACTGCACCCCCCACAACTCGCAGCATTTTCCAGTTCCTGCCAAAAAGGGAAGTTTGTCACGAAGGACACCAAAAAGAGTCCTTTCCTAACCCGTGGAAAAGCATATATATGTATATATATATACACACGTATACACACACACGCACTTATGTTAATGGTTCCAAACAGTGACCAATGTAAGTATTTATACAGGATAAAGCCCTTATAAAGATTAACTGCACATCTAGGGAAAATAAAATCACACTGAAGTGTGTGGGGGTTTTGGCACGCTGGTTGTGGACATTTACACATTCCTCTGGGCAGTTTGGGGTGAGATAGGCAGAAATCGGCAAAAAGCAGCAGGAGACTACGGCGGGAAGGGGCCCAGGCCTCGCCGCGGGGCCTGGAGAGCGGTACAGAGTCCCTCGCACCGCGACGCGGCCCTCGATGCCCCCCAGGGCCCTCAAGGAAGCTCCGGGCCCGGTTAGTGCCACCGGGAGCCTCCATCCCCGCGGCCTCAGGCCTCGCCGCCAGGCCCGGGCCCCCTCGGC